CACCATTCTGTTGTGGGGTGTAGGCACAAGAAGTTTGATGAATAATCCCATGATGTTCTAAGTATCGCTAAAATGGTGAAGAGTTGTTTTCTTTGGCATTATCGGAGCAAAGAATTTTAATATGAACACCAAATTGAGTGTGTATTTCAGCATAAAATTTTTGAAAAATAAGGAACAACTCACTACGGTCTTTCATAAAATAAATCCATGTCATCTTTGAAAAGTCATCAACAAATATTACAAAATACTTATACCCATTGTATGACACCACTTTAATTGGACCCCATACATCAGAATGAACTAAAGAAAAAGGACTTGAGACACGACTATCAACTCTTAGACTAAATGAGACTCTGATGTTTTCCCAATTGACATGACTCACAATCTAAHGATGAAAGATGACTCAAGGAAGGAACCAGCAACTTCAAAGTCTTGAGAGAAGGATGACCAGGTCTGCAGTGCCATTGAAAATGAGTAAGAGACGACTGAAAAGCTACTGGAGGGCCACCACCATCAAGGTAATACAATCCACCTGCTTCATGCCCTCCACCAATCTTCCTCCCCGTCTTGAGATCCTGAAACACACAAGAAGAAGGATAGAAGGTTACAGAACAATTAAGAGACTTGGTTAATCTGCTAATAGACATAAGGTTAAAAGGGAACTTAGGGACATATAAAACAGATGATAAAAACAAGGAGGAGAGATCAACATCACCAACACCACAGATAGAAGATGTAGAACCATTAGCAAGTGTAACTGTTTGAGATGTGGAGGAACGAGAAAGGGAAGAGAATACATCAAGAGTCCCAGACGTATGGTCCGAGGCTCCGGAGTCAATGATCCAATGTGAGGCTTTGGAAGCTAAGCAAGCCATACCTGAATGGGCAAGTGTAGCAGTGTTCTGCTGAGATGTTTGAATGAACTGCTCATATACCGCACGCGGTACACTCACCATTTCCTTCTCAGAAGCACAAGCAGATGTGAAGGGGATTGGGTCAGTTTGCTGACTTTCAGTAATTGTGCCACTACCCTTAGTCATACCATGGTTAGGTGGACCACACAAATCATAGCAGAAATTAACTGTGTGCCCCTATAAACCACAATGTGTACACTTTCTCTGGGCATTACCCCTTCCTTTTCCACGGCCTCCCCCTGAGTCTCGGCCTCCAATCCGACCACTAGCCCGGTTAAACATGTGACCACCACGGTTGCTTGGGAGTCCACTACTGCCACCACCACTTCTATTTCCACGACCACCCCCTTTAGTCACTACCAAACCAGATCTGTCAGAGAGAGRAGAATGTTCTACCGACTCAATGGATGTCCTCTTAAAACGGGCAAAAACTTCTTCAAGTGAGGGGAGAGAAGACCCCCCCAATATTTGTGCTCTGACAAGCTCATACCCAGCCTTCAAACCCACAAGAAACCTTGTCACATCAAGCTACTCACGTTGCTGTTGTTGGATCTGAACATCTGATGTTAGAGGATGATACACATTAAGCTCATTACGAATGTTCCTCAAACTTGCATAGTACTCTTCTAAACTTTGACTCCCTTGCTTCAAATTAAAGTACTCTTGGTACAACTGATACACCCTAATTGTATTGTCTTGTCCAGAGTACAGCTTCTTAGCATGATCCCAGATTTCCTTAGTTGTATCTAGGAACATGAAGTTCACACTAATCTTTGGTTCCATGCTGTTCCAGAGCCATGTCATTATCTGTGCAACTTCTTGTTCCCAGTCACTGAACCCAGGGGAATCAGAGGGAGGTTTCTCCTCTCTCACATGTTTTACCTTCCTCTTGGCCTTCAAGAATACCTCCACAGATTTCGCCCATGGTATATAATTCTCACCATTCAACTTGATGGATGTCATTTGAACACTTAGATAATCTGGAGAAAGCATCACACCTGTTTTGTTGTCATTCCCATTTTCAAATGAAGCCATCTTAATTATTTCACCTTCAAATATACAACACAACCTCACACTCTTTCACAAGACTTATCTCACTTATAACACCACCAACTCCAACTTCTTCAAATGCACATTACACACCACACACTAAGGCTGAAATCACTCAGTCATCACATCAACACCTGGGCTGCACACTGCAGAACCATTCACCATCAACACACTAAGGCTGAAATCATTCAGTCATTACATTGGACACTTGTTCTTCATACTGCAGAACTGATTACAGACAAGGTCTAGGAGTTCACTTTTAAATATTTAGAATCATAGATACACCAATTACCACGACACAACCACCACCACACCACTACTGTTGTGAACTTCAGCAGTCGGCAACTCTTCTTTCAGCACACATATGAGGAAAAATGCAGAGGAACACTACTGATATGCATATCAGTCACACCAAGCTCCACAACAACCAACTTTTGAAGCAAAAAAAAAAAACATTCACAATCCCTTACTTGGACAAACAACAGCAGTGTTCATACCTGTCCACCTTCAGCCCTCTTCGTACACTGAATAGAGGGTTTAGTATACCACTTCAACGACCACTACAACAACAACCGGAGGCATTCTCACCTCCAGCCCCACAAAACGACAGCTCCTTTTCAGCCCCTTATCGAACCTCCACTCAGGTCAGTCGAAAAGGAAGAAGATGACTATGAAAGTTGGCGGCGAACCAGAAAGAGAACAGCAGCAAGAAAGAAAGGAGAATACGACCTTACAGCTCTGATACCATGTAAGTAAACCCTAGTAGATTCTAGGTCAAAGTAGAGAGGAAGAAAGAAAAGAGAAAGAAGAAGAAGAAGAAGAGAAAGAGAGTTTAGCCAGACTAGAAGAGAGTCTCTAAATCACACCTTCCCTAGCCGATCCACTTGTATTTATTCAAAATCATAGAGTTACAAGAAAGACCATTTYGTCCCTCATAAGAGATGRGACACATAACTTAAACTCAGATACAATAGACCTTTCACTCTTAAGTAGATAAACCAGAATGACCAAAATACCCCTGACTCGAGCATTCTAACAGAACTCAATGCCAAGTTGAGTGTTGATGCAGGTGAAGAGTTTGAAGATCCTGGAAGATACAGGAGGTTGGTGGGAAAGTTGAACTACCAGACCATTACCCGACCAAATATATCATTTGTTGTGAGTATGGTGAGTCAGCTTATGCAACATCCTCGGATTCCTCATTGGGAAGCAGTTCTAAGGATTGTTAGGTACCTGGAGGGTGATCCAGGTCGTGGTTTGCTATACCGAAGTAGAGGGACCCTTGAGATAGTAGGGTACACAAATGCTGTTTGGACTGGTTCTATATCAGACAGGAGATCAACTACAGGGTATTGTACCTTCCTTGGTGGCAATCTTGTAACTTGGAAGAGCAAGAAACAAACAGTGGTGGCAA